TGGAAACTGTCACTCTTCCTTGTCTCCTCCCTCACCCTGTAGCGTTTACTTCTTAAATATAGCTCCCCTCCTCCAGTCCCATGACCACCACTGGTTCAGGCTAGTCACCTCTCCGTACTCTCCTGTGACCACAGCAAGTACAGCCTCCTCCTATCTGGAATTCTTGTTCCCAGCCTTGACCCTGGGTGAGACTGAATCTGGTCGCCTCACTCTCCCGATTAAAATACTTCCATGAGCCTCCACTAGCTAGATGCTGGGGACAGCAGAGGGCTGTGGGAGTATTTTAATCAAGCCAGCAGGATGATCAAATTCAAAGAACAAATGGCATGACAGCAGACTTTTCAACAGACACGGAGAATTGGGAGTTCTGGCCATATTCTGACAAACGAGGATGAACTCCACCAGTTAGACGCTCAAGAAAGAAATATTATTAGATGCACCTCAGAATGAAGAAAACGGACACTGGGAAGCAGTGAGAAGTAGGGCTTGCTGAGTAAAGAATGGGGGCAAAGAGGAACAATCAGTGACTATAAAACCCTGATGGTATTGACTGGAGAGGAATAAACACCGGGAGTGCTGTGCGGTCCAAGGACCAAGGCATTCTCCTCAGGTCTTTGTATAGGAGGATAAGGATACTGACTAACTTTAAGCAGTAATCACAAAATAATCAAAAGAGAATGTAAAACTTAAAAAAAAAAAACAGAGAAGGTAAAAAATAAAGAAACCGTGAAGGCAGAAATGGAGAGAAAAAAAGGAGTTCTAGAAATAGAAGGATAAATAGAAAACACAAAACAAGACAGGACAAATAAATCCATCAGTAAACATATATGAAAATGAGCTCAATCCAGCAGTTGAAAGAAATGACCAGATTGGATTAAAAAATCCAAGTTAGGCTGGTTATGAGATTTAAGGACAGATGCCAAGCGCTGCCTGGGTGACTCAGGCAGTTAAGCATCCGACTCTTGATTTCGACTCAGGTCATGATCTGCGGGTTGTGAGATCGAGCCCTACACTGGATTCCTCACTCTGGTTGGGGGGGGGAGTCTGCTTGTCTCCCTCTCCCTCTGCCCCTCCCCCTGCTGTCTTTCAAATAAATAAGTCTTTAAATAAATAAATAAATAAATAAATAAATAAATAAATAAATAAAGGCACAAATATAAGAAATACACCAGGAAAGTCTAACCAAAACAATGCTGGTAATTCTAATATTGATATGATAGACCTGGGGAGGAACAGGAGGGATAAAGAGGACCCTTTATACAATGATAATTGGAAAAAAGTCTCCAGAACATTCTCTATCGTGTGTACCTAATAATATGGCCTGAGGATACCCAAGTAACAGAATTAAGAAGCTTGGTCTGGAATCGGCGCACACAGAACTCTGTACCCAATGATGAGATATACCCACTTCAAGCACAGAAGGAACACTTCCATAATTGACCTGCATTAAGCCCACAGAGCAAATCTTGACCAATATCAAGGAATCAAAATCATATAGTCCTCATTCTTTAACCACAAATGCAAGTAAAGTAGAAATTGGCAACAAAAGAGCAACCAGAGAAAATTAGCAACTGTGACTGCTGGGTAGGGAATCAGGATTTGGGCTTGGCGGAAGCAGGGAGACCAGCTCAGAGTCTAAGAAGCGGGTGGAGGAAATGGGTTGGATGACGGTGGGGACAGTGAGATGGACAGAAGCGCTCTGACCATCTTGTACAGTCACGTATACCCGACACCTAACGCAGTACCAGGTACACAGCCGTTGCTAAAATCCAGGTTATGAAAAAATGCAAAGACTAGTCCAAGGTGCTGAAACGAATTGCAGCTCCATCCTCCCTACAGACAGGCCAGGTTTCCATGGCCCGGTCACCAACGCCTCACCTGCCTGGACCCCAGGTTAGTGCCAGGTCAGCCAGCCGGGCTTAAATCTCCTTACATCCTTGCCTTATAGCTCCTTTTTTTTTTTTTTTAAAGATTTTATTTATTTGACAGAGAGAGAGTGTGTGCTTACGCATACAAACACACAAGCAGGGGGAGCGGCAGGCAGAGAGAGGGAGAAACTGGGAGCCCCATGTGGGGCTCGATCCCAGGACCCCAGGACCCCAGCCCAAGCCAAAGGTAGATCCTCAACCCACTAAGCCACCCAGGTGCCCTGGTTCCTTACTTTTTTAAAACATTTTTAGGGGATGCCTAATATAATAAAACTATACTAGATGTTTCCATACCTGTGATCTCATTTAATACACCCCAACACCTACAGATTAAGTCCTGCAAAGTCCACTGCTACAGATGAAGAAACAGACTGGGCTCAGGCAGGTTACGTAACTCACCTTAAGACCCTTATCTTGCAAGGGTTTTAGACCCTCACCTGCCCTGCTTCCCTTCTCACCGCCTCAGAAACCAACCTCAGTGTGTCCACGTATAAAATGTGGGTGATGATCGCATAGCAGCTACAACAAATGGTTATGAAAACTATGTGGGTTGACATATATATGAGGTGCTGGGAAGAGAGGCAGACATAAACTCTCAAAAAACACTAGCTGTTTAGTATTTACCTGTTGAAAGAATCAGCTATGAGTCTCAAATAAGAGTTGGCCAATTAACTAAAATTGAGCCAGAAAGGTGGGCAGGCATAGACTGCTCTCGAGTTAAAATGCAGACATTTTAGGCACACTCAGTAAACGTACACCTAAAAGCCCTGATTTTGTCTCAAGCAACTCAGACAACCACAGATTCTAGGGTATCCCTACGAGACTGTTGTCAGAGGGATCCCTGGGTGGCTCAGCGGTTTAGCACCTGCCTTTGGCCCAGGGCATGATCCTGGGGTCCCGGGATCGAGTCCCGCGTCGGGCTCCCTGCATGGAGCCTGCTTCTCCCTCTGCCTGTGTCTCTGCCGCTCTGTGTCTCTCATGAATAAATAAATAAAATATTTGAAAAAAAAGTAAAAAAAAAAAAAAAAAGACTTGCTAGTACGCGTGGCACAAGTCCACGCCTTCATCATCTGATCTACCATGTCTCAAGCTCGGTACCATGCACACCTGGGCTGGGTAATCTCGGTCGGTCATGGGGGGCTCCCCTGTGTGCTGCGGAGGTTTAGCAGCATCCCTGGCCTCTATCCACTGGATGCCAGTAGCACACTCACACTACCCCACTCCACCCCCAGCTGTGACAAGCAAAAATGTCTCCAGATGGAACCAAATGTCCCCTGGGGGACAAAAGCATCCCCAGCTGAGAGGCACTGCGTTTGTCTTCCTGGCAGACACCTTTCCAGTGGGATCTGGAGCGGAGCCCCTTGTCCCAAGTTCAATCCTAGATGCCCTAGTAAGAAAACAGCCTGGGGCAGGATCGGGTCAGGATGAGGGAACCAGACCACACGGGGCTTCAAGCGCCCCCCGTTTATCCTCAGGCGCGCGGGTAGGTGGACGCAGGCTGGGAGGCAGCATGCAGAGGCCACCTCGGTCCTGGGTGATGAAAGAAGCTCCAGGGCAATGCGGGTGTGTGCTTAAAATGCTCTGCCTCCGGAAACCAAATGTAGCATTTGTAAGGGGCAGAGCATTTACACAGAGCTTCTGCCTTCACATCGCCAAGCTCTCAGCCTCTGCTAACGGTCTCCAGGGGCAGGGCTGGCCCTCTTCCATCTTCAAGATGATTCAGGTTTCCTGGAGAACAAAATGAGCCTCTAATGCCTAATATTTTCTCTCTGACAGATGGTTTCAGATGTATCAAAGTGCTAATCCTCGCTGAGGTATAGGTCTCCAGGAAGGAGAGTTTGGCTTTTAGGATGATAGAACTTGAATGATTAAGGAGGAAAATTACTCCCGGGGTGTTCGGCATTGTCATGTGGGCAGCCCGCTTTTAAAATGAAGGAAGACAGCAGGAGCTGAAAAAAAGATGTGGGGAAAAACTCAAAACACCCAGGTTTTACAGTTTAGGTCTGAAATATTTCCACTCAAAGCTGTCCCTGGGAGTGGCAAGGAAGGGCCGTAAAGACACCTTCAGGCTCAGGATGATCAGGGCTCCATCTGCCTCCCTCCAGTATCACCAGCCCCGCCTTCCGGGCGCGGGAGGGGCCCCGCAGCTCACTGGCTGTGCGACCTTGGGCCTGTCGCACGACCTCTCGGAGCCTCAGTGTTCCCGCCTGTCAAATGGGCATGACGACGACCTCAAAGCGACGCCGTGGGCGTCAGAAGTGGCAACGCTTGGGGCTCCTGCCTCGGGCTCGGGGGGGGGGGGGGGTGACCCCGGGATCCGGGGTCGAGGCCCGCGGCGGGGCCTGCGGCTCCGCCCCCCCTCAGTGTGTGTGTCTTTCATGAATAAATAAATACATCTTTAGCTCGTTTGGCTGGCACGTGAGCGTCCGGCCCCTGCCTCCCGAGAGCGCGGACAGGTAAGCGGTGTGGACCACGACGAGGCCACCTGGGAGTCTCCACGGAGGCCAAACGGGTCTCACGTCAGCGACTAGGGGGCAGGTCAGGAGGGCGCCCGGGGGGAGGCGCGGGGTCTCGCGGCCGCTCGGCGCAGGGCTCGGCCCGGCCCGCCTGCCTCCCGCGCCCAGCTCCTCACGGCCCCGAGCGGGCCGCCCGAGCCCGGGCCCCCGCGGGGTCACAGGACTCACGGTACTCCTCCGGCAGCAGCAGGGGCCGGAAGTAGATGGGGTAGAAGGCGGCGCCCACCAGGGAGATGAAGCCGCCGAAGATGAGCGCCGTGCGCAGGTTCGGGGACATGGCGCCGCGCCCGGGCTGCCCGCACCCCGCGAGACCCCGCGAGACCCCGCGCGCCGGGCCGTGACCCCGCTCGGAAGAGGCGGAGCGGCTTTCGCTTCCGGGCCTTGGGGGCGGGGCCAGGGCACGGGGGCGGGGCCTGCGGGGTGGGCGGGCTCGGGGCGGGGCCTGCTGAGGGGGCGGGCCCGTTGGGGTGGGCGGAGCCTGGGGTGGGACCCGCGGGTGGGCGGGGCCGGAGGCGGGGCCTATAGAGTGGACGGGGCGGGGCCTGTGGGTGGGCGGGGCCTCGGGGCGGCGGCCGCGGTGCTGGGGGCCGGGCCGGCCGAGAGGGGCTCTTGCCCTGTTCCAACCCCCGCGCTGCCCGCGGCCCGGCCCCCCCTCCGCTGCTCCCCCCGCCATTCTCCTGACCTCTTGGGTCACCCTTTCCCCTCGACCAGCCACGCTTTCTCCTTCTCCCCACCCTTCTCTGATTTCGGTGACTTTCCGCCCCGAGCTGCGTGCTGTCCGCGGCTCGCTGATTCCATCCCCCCGGCTGTGGGCCCATTTTACAGGTGAGGCAAGCGCGGCTTCGGACGAGTGACCGCGCCTCCTAGAGGCTGCTGGAGGGGGTGAGGGGCCAGGGGCCGCGCGCCCGCCCCGGATGGCCTGCAGGGGGCGTCTGACCCGAGCCCCGGGACTACGGGATCAGGACTAGGGGGGAGGAGTCTTGTGTCAACGTCCCGACGGCAAGTAGATCCGTCCGCTCGGTTCCCTCTGCTGCGCGTCTGGGTTAGAATGAGGATGGGGAAGGAGTAGGGTCAGGGCAAGGCGGGGAGCCCGCGGCCGGTCCCAGGGATGGGACCTTGGGGCTGTGCCTTACTGCGTGGGGTGGGGCCGCTGAGGTTGGACGTGCTCCCTCCCTTCCTAGGGTCGCCGTCCTCCGTCCTTCCTGGGGTAGGGGGCGCTGTGGGGGCAGGCGAGGTGCCCAGGGGTACGGAGCGGCTGGGACTAAGGTTTCTTGGGCCTTCCCTGAACCCTTTATAAATAAGGATGCTACCAGCGGCCCGGGCCGGGGAGCAGGAGGCTAGTCACCCGGGCCCCGGCAGTGTCATTTAGTCTGCAAAAGACGTAGGAGCCTCGGCAAGGGCGTGGAGAGCACAGGTCTCCTCTCTGGGTAGCGTTGTCGTGGAGCCGAGCTACCGTCTGCCTCCGAGGCTCCGCGAGCAGGTAAATCAGGTGTTGGATCCGGCGGCAGTTTCATGGACTCTCTGCCGTACCCCAAACAGCAGGCCAAGTGCTCCGAGGGACGCAAAGATGAATAAGCCGTGACCCTTCGCTCCCCGGGCTCCTGCCACGTGGATGAAGAGGCAGGACAGATACAGGAAAAGGTGACTGATGAGGCGGCGCCGCTTGTTGCGGATGAGTGATAGGGGCCTGCGCCGCGGGAGTGCGGGCAGGAAGACGGAGGACTGCGGGGGCGGCGGCAGCTCCTCCAGCAGAGAGGGGAGCTGTGATGGATGCTTTCTGTCCCGTGATACAAAACCCCAGGTGAGCGCACCTTTGTCATGTTAGCAACCGGGAGGCCACTTGTCTTCCTCTCAATAGCACCCGAGTATCTTGGCAAACCACTCCTCTCCCATTCTCAGTCGGGGAGGTGAACTGGGCTTCTCCTCTGCCCCACCCCCACCCCCACCCCCACCCCCACCCCAATGATTTTTTTTTTTTTTTCCAGCTCTGAGAGGTCAGGGGATCGCCAAGAGTGACCAAGCTGCCACACCACAGGGATTGATTGGGACAGGGCCCAGGCCTGGTCGTCCAGCGAAGCCGCATCCTCCTGGCTGCATGACCTCACCATAGTGCCTCCCAGCTGCTGGAAATCTGGATTTGAGCTTGAGGGGATCAGACGCTGGGGTCACCCCGCACCACCATATGGAGACTGAGCGTGAGGACAGTACAGCAGAAGCAAAGCCGAGAGATGGAGAGAAATCAGGTGCTGACATTACCTTTGAGCCCCTGGAGCCGGCTGTGCCTGGAAACGGATCTGCCCCTGGACTTCTCAGTGATAGGAGCCAATGAAGTTCCCTTTTCGCTGAAACCAGTTTGAGTTATTGTGTTTTGTTTTGTTGTTTGTTTGTTTGTTTGTTTACAACAGGAGTTCCAGATGAAGACACCGCGAGTGGGATTTCGTTTCCTTGACGGTTCCACGGGCCGCAAGTCAAGGATTACTCTATTTTATAGCTCAGGTCACTGAGATCCAGGAACTTCTCTTTTAGGGTCACACACCATTAGCTGAGCCAGGACTAGGGTTTAGTTTTCATTCCTAATCTGACAGGCTCCTCCCTGAGACCTGGCGGTCTCCATAAGCAAGCTTGGCAGGATGGCTGCATGAGCCCTACACACAGCAGCCTCTGAAAGCCAGGCTAGAGACCGCCAGGATGTCCTCCTGTCCGCAGTGCCTCCAAGGCACAGATGGATTAATGTGGGACAGATGAGCCACCCCCTCTCCAAGCAGCAAGTAACCGCAGGGCTTCTCTGTCCCCTGATGTTCATGTAAACGTTTTAGTCTGACCAGCGGCCAGGCCACAACTTATACAGACACACTCATCACCTTGCTAGCATCGTCACACCAAAAATTACTCACCCCTTGCTTGCCACTGAGTCCTAAGCAATACAGGTTCATCTCTTTGAACCCCAGGTTCTCCCCGTTTCTGAAGACCCCACTGACCTACAGATTCAATCGGCAGATCCTTATTGTGTGCTGACTCCAGCCAAGCACTGCGCTGGTTGATTGGGAACACAAAAAGGAAGCATCAGCACTTGTGTATTTGACAAAGGTTTACTGAGCCAAGCACCGTGTGACAGCCACATTTCAAAGGCTGGTGGATGCAGCCAGCAGTGAATTCACAAGAGAGTCTGTTGTCCTCGTGGCACCTATGGTGTGGTAGAGGGATATGACGTGGCAGTGGGTAGTAATTGCTTTTTGGTCACTCAGCCTTGCTGAATATTAGCTCCTGATTCCCCATTTGTGTAGGGAGAAGCTGGGGGCAGAGCAAGAATGACGGGCCCAGGAGCCACTAAATAGTAGAGTCAGGATTCAAATCCCACCCCGCTGACTCCAGAGACCTGCATTATCACCAGTGTACACTGCCTCGCAAAGTCAGTGAGTTCATATTGTCTGAGTGTGGGTACAATTCCAACCACGTCCAATTGCTCCTTTTCTCCCAGAAATAAGAATTGTGAGCGTGGAGACCCAGAGACAGGCAACACTATTTTTTTTTTAAGATTTTATTTATTTATTCATGAGAGACACAGAGGCAGAGATACAGGCAGAGGGAGAAGCAAGCTCCCTACAAAGAGCCCGATGTGGGACTTGATCCCGGATCCCAGGATCACACCCTGAGCCAAAGGCAGACACTCAACCACTGAGCCACTCAGGCGTCCCGACAGGCAACACTACTGCGGTGAATTTCTTCGCACTGCTAATGTCCCCATAAGATGACTGCTTGTCTTCCACTCACCTGTAATCCCAGAGATTCTCTTCTTGCCCCTTGCAGTCTGATTCTCGGTTGTTCATTATATCCTGCAGGCCGCCCCTACCCTTCCAGTAAGCTCCCCTCCAGACTCAGTTGGAGTCTGTTTCGGTTGTACACCAGCAGAAGACCTAACAGATACAGAAAGTCCCACAATTACCTGCCACAGGTAACAAAGACCAGGGGCTTGGGGCTTCCTAGCTGTGCTGATGTGTGCAAGAGCCAAAGGAAATTTGGACCTAGGGGAAGGTATTTGTGCAAAGGGGGAGAGAGCTCCGGGGACAGGAGGAGACAGGCTGCAAGTCAAATATGTCAGGAGTCCTAGGGTGCATATTTTCATCTCAATCACTGAGGGAAAAAAAATTGGTTTGGGCTCCTATCTGGCACTTTCTCCTTCTTCCCTTGGATGTGAAGATTGCATGCTTGCAGGGAGCAGACCACCAGTGGTGTCTCACATGGGGTTCAGACAGACATCAAAGTTAATCCGCTCTCTGATCTAAGCAAAATGGTGATGAGGGTTTCTTGGGACAGCAGCTCCACTAATTGTGGCACTGCAGCCCGGCTGATGTATTTTTAGAATATTGTGGATTTTCACATAGTATTCATTGCTTTCTGCAGGAAAACTGTCAGACTAGAAGCTGGGGGTTTGGAATACAGTGGCATCTAACGCAGGGTCCCCCGGACCTGAACTTTTAAGAATAAGAAAATAAGTAAACACTTTCCTTTTTTTATCAGGAGCTGTGACTCTCTGCCCACTCATCTGTATGAATGCTTCCAATTTCAATCATTTGTCAAGTTTTACTTCTTTGATCTGTTCTTCACATCCAAAAGATTCCCCCAGATATCTGTCTTGGCTTATGTCTTGCCACCCTATGCTCTTAGAGTTTTAACTAATATCTTTATGACTTTGTAGGGGCCAAGGGCAGGCTGCCCCAAGGTGAGCCACTTTGGCGTGAACATTATTTTGAATTAAAAGCAATGAGGGAAAAAATAAAAAATAAAAGCAATGAGGGGGGACGGGGGGGGGGCGGCTGCCTGGCTCAGTCCATGATGCAAATGACTCTTGATCTCTCAATTATGGGTTCCAGCCCCATGCTGGGTATAGAGATTGCTTAAAAATAAAACCTTAAAAATTTTTCTTAATAAAGCAATCAAAGCCTAGCAGATTGAGGAAAAGTTTTTTTGTTTTTTTTTTTTTCTCTCCCCCTCAACTGCCTGCCTGTACCAGGAGGAGCACTATTAACAGGGCTTCCTCTTTACCAAAGAAACTGATCTGCATAACAGGGCACCAAAGATCTCCTGTCACCGTTCTGCTAAGGGTCCTTCTCCCCTCTGTGTCATTGCAATCATGCCCCTCTCCTTAGCTCATGCGTGTCAGGTCACCTCACTGTCTTTGAGATTTCCCTGTCTGTGTGGATTCCCTGTAACTACCCTATTAAATTTGATTTTCTCTTGTTAATCTGTCTCATGTCAATTTGATTCTTAGTGCAGCCTTTGAGACTTGAAAGGCAGAGTAAATTCTTCCTCCCCAACAACTTCAGGAGCTAGGTGTCAAGACCAGCCTTTCTGTTGAACCTCCTGTGCCTGGGGAACATCCTCAGGTTCAAGACCCACTTGCTTCTGCTCTCTCCCCTTGACTCTCACTGCTGCTGGTTTGCTTAGAGGCATCATCAAGCTCTCCCGTGCATGGCTTCCTAACTTGTCTGTAGGGTGCCATCCCCTTCCATCACTACACTGTCCCATTCATGGAGTACCGAAAGGTTCATGGAGCACCCAAAGTACTTCTGAAGACATAGATCTGGGGACGCCTGGGTAGCTCAGTGGTTGAGCATCTGCCTTCAACTCAGGGCATGATCCCAGGGTCCTGGGATCGAGTCCCACATAGGGCACCCTACAGGGAGCCTGCTTCTCCTTCTGCCTGTGTCTCTGTCTCTGTTTGTCTCTCATGAATAAATAAAATCTTAAAAAAAAAAAAGATGTAGATCTGGTTAATCACTGCTCTTCTCAGACGACTTCAGTGTCTCCCTAAAGTGTGAATTACTCAGCCTGCACCTCAGGGTTTTTAAAAAAAATTATTATTTTTTAAATTTAAATTCAACAATTAACATAAAATATTGTTAAATTTAAATTCAATTAATTAACATACCTGAACTATTAGGTTCAGAGGTAGAGTTCAGTGATTAAGAGTCTCTTATGATTTGTCTCTCTCTCTCTGATTTCATCTTGTTTTATTTTTCCCTGACTTACCCTATGCTCCTCTGTTTTGCTTCTTAAATTCCACATATGAGTGAAATCATATGATAATTGTCTTTCTCTGACTTATTTCACTTGGCATAATACCCTCTAGTTCTATCCACATTGTTGCAAATGGCAAGGTTTCATTCTTTCTGGTGGCTGAGTAATATTCCATTATATACACACACACACACACACACACACACACACACACACACAGTGTGGAGGTTCCTCAAAGAGTTGAAAATAGAGCTACCCTATGACCTAGCAATTGTACTATTGGGTATTTACCCCACAGATACAGATGTAGTGAAACAAGGGGCACCCACACCCCACTGTTCATAGCAGCAACGTCCACAACAGCCAAACTATGGAAGAAGCTGAGCTGTCCATCAACATATGAATGGATAAGGAAGATGTGGTATATATATATCACTCACTACATCTGTATCTGTGGGGTAAATACCCAATAGTACAATTGCTAGGTCGTAGGGCAGCTCTATTTTCAACTCTTTGAGGAACCTCCACACTGTTTTCCAGAGTGGCTGCACCAGCTTGCATTCCCACCAACAGTGTCAGAGGGTTCCCCTTTCTCTGCATCGTTGCCAACACCTGTCATTTCCTGACTTGTTAATTTTAGCCATTCTGACTGGTGTGAGATGGTATCTCATTTTTTTCATTTTGATTTGTATTTCCCTGATGGCGAGTGATATGGAGCATTTTTTCATGGGTCTGTTGGCCATTTGTATGTCTTTTTTGGAGAAATGTCTGTTCATGTCTTCTGCCGATTTCTTGATAGGATTATTTGTTCTTTGAGTGTTGAGTTTGATAAGTTCTTTATAGATTTTGGATACTAGCCCTTTATTCTGATAAAACATTTACAAACATCTTCTCCCATTCTGTCGGTTGCCTTTGATTTTGTCGACTGTTTCCTGCCACATGGTCCGTTCTGATGAGAGACAAAATGATTACTCAGAGTCCAATATCTTGGAACAAAGAGAAGCCCAAGGGGGCTACACCATCAGGCACCACCAAGGAGGGCAGGTGCCGAGGTGAGGCCCCCAGTCCAGGTTGGCTTTCAGTATTATTGCCGTAGAATGTAAAGGATGTGGAAGTGAGGAAGGAAAAACAACTCAAGAAACCAATCACGTGAGGGGCAGCAGGGAACTGAATATGTGACAATCTGCATGGGTTTGAGGAGCATGAACTAGGGGCTGCAGGAGATGGGACAACTGACCACAACAGGCCCGACTATCTATCCACCATCATTGCTGTCTTCAGCATCTACTGAATTCAGTATGGATCGATGGCAGGAATAATTGGCTTTTGCCAC